GTAAAATAGCTTAAAACGAAAACCTAAATTCCTCAAACCCTGCCCCCCAATTAATTAACAACCTAAATTACACTTCATATTATTAGAACAAAATCATGTACTCCATATCCAACAACCATATAAGCATCTTGGAATTTGGAAGTGGACTTAATGACCACATTAGTATCCTAATTCCATGAACACAATTTGTCTTTAAAGATTCTCCTGGTTCATGAACATGCATGTTCATAATGTACTTGGTTTTTGTATCACTTATTCCACGAACTTTAGAGGTGACCTTTTGACTTCATACATGCACTCTAGTCTTCCTTATTTATTCTATATATTTACGCTATGTCTACATACATGAATGACTTAATACTTCTCAAATTCATTGTCCGGTACAAAGGATAAAACATGAGGAATCAAATTATCAATGGTTCATTAGAGGAAGATGGAGTCAAATTGAAGGAATTCATGAAGCTATATAAAGGAGCATACCATCACTTAGCACAGCATAAGGTTGAATGAGGAAATAGAAAACAAGGGCATACATTTGCACTATTGTAGTAAATCATCTCATAGGATATTGTTGACACAGAAGGGCCAAACACTAAATGAGTTAATCAAGAAACCTAGGTAAGTGAATTTTAGTGCTTTTATTATGGCATAACCCAGGATCCTAATCCAATTATTTGATCTTCTTTGATTGACTAAATTTTCTAACAAAGCATACACACAAACCCTATATCAAGGAATATGCAGTGCATAGATAAATTTTAACGCTATTTTAGACAGGATCTCGTCGTATAACATCAATCAAAACTTCGTAGAGTAGCAGAAAAAGAAATCATGGCATAACTTCCAATATGTATAAATAAAAAGTTATCCATATGTATTATATACGTGATACCTGAGACTTGGAATCGCTGTAATCGTCACCGCCGCCATGGCTACTACCTCTAGGCTGAGGCGAGGAGCCATAGTTGTCGACATCCTCTCCGTTGACTTCGTAAATTCCTTCGTAGTCCGGCATCTTTAGATCTTTTTATTCTTTTCCACCGCCTCTCTCTCTCTCTCTGTCTGTGGAATTTGTCTCGGATCGACTTACTGCCTGGGACTTCTAGGGCTTTCGAAGGAGCGTCCAACCCTATTTATAGGGAGGTCGGTGAGAGAGATAAAAGTTGAATTTACGATCGGTACCTACACGGCAACCAAAGGTCCAAAGCGAAGCAAGGATATTTATGTAAATCAGCTTGGTTTAAGAAATTTTTTATCTCTGCCATTTAAAAAAAAAAAAAAAAAAATCTCAATTTATCCCCGGAAAGATACCAATTTTTTCAATTTACCCTTTGAATGATTAATTGTTCCATATTACCCTCTGAAAGACATTAAAAAATTACAATATAGTCAATCGTCATTTTTTCGTTTGTCATTCGTTTGATTTTGTTATCACGTGCTTTGCACATGATAACAGGAGGGGCTATATTGTAAAATCATTCTCTATGCAAATCCATGTCTTCTTCTACCTAAGTGATTGGGGGAATGTACTAAGAGAGAAATAAGCATCCAAACCCATTACCCATAGGCTTCCATGGAATCTGATACAAAAAAAGTTTTTCTTGAGAAATTCCCAAGCTTAACAACAACCAGCCTAACCATCACGATCTTGCATAGACCAAGACAAAGACCATAACGCCATCGATCCCCTATCGTCTGAAACATCCGCAAAGGTTGAAGAAGCCCAACCAAACAATGCCAAGACAAAGAACAAAGAGTAAGAAGACTAAATCAATACAGAGATTGAAGACTCTTCTTCTCTTAAGACTCCCAATTTCTCTCAAGTCACTGCGGAGATTGATCAATTCACCTCTATTTTGTCGAGCTTAAAAAATGATGAATCCAAACTCTCAAAGATTCCAGAATTCGTGGAACAATTTGTTCTTCTTGTTAAAGCAAAGATCGCGAACTATGATTCAACTAATACCCCATTGAAATGGAGTCAAATCACAGAGGAAAACTCGACAACATTTTTTGAAGCTATGACCTGAATCTTCAAGTTATCAACATCACTTTGCATATTCTCGTTAGAATCAAAGTACAGTTCATCAATCAACTGCATTGGTGGAATTCTACAACGCGCAAATGTCATACTTGGAGGAGGAGTTTAGATATTTTCTTGAAGATTATAAACTTTCAGATTCAGATCATAATAATGACTCAAAAACGAAACAATCTTCATCGTCTCTCTCTAATCAAGATTCAGATCATTGTGTTTTGTCGGAGAAACAAAAATGGGTTTGGATGCTTCTCTCTCTCTCTCTCTCTCTCTCTCTCTCTCTCTCGGTACATTTCCCCAATCACTTAGGTAGAAGAATATATGGGTTTGCATAGAAAAAGATTTTACAATATAGCCCTTCCTGTTATCACGTGCAAAGCACGTGATAACAAAATCAAACAGACAACAAATAGAAAAATAACGATTGACTACATTGCAATCTTTTAATGTCTTTCTGGGGATAATATGGAACAATTAATCATTCATAGGGTAAAGTGAAAAAATTGGTATCTTTCAAGGGATAAACTGGAATTTTTCCAAAAAAAAGGTGTTAAAAAATAGAGAATAAGAAATCTACGTACAAGAGGCGTTTGTTTGGGTGAATAAAGTGAGATAATAGACTTGAATTGGGTTAAAAAAATGTGGACCCCACAAATCTTAAGTCTAAATTCATATTTGGGATAATTGTTGGGCTTGATTTACTCGGCCCATAGGAATTCGCCCATTTATCTCCTCTGAACCGGAACAAACAACCCACTAATTATATGAGTTAAGTTTTATATCAACCGAATAAAAACTTTTTCACCAATTTGCCCTCAAAACAATATTTTTTCCTGGGGTTAAATTAAAATCAATGGCCCCTTTTACCTTGGTTGCATCGCTTCACTGGACGCCTCCCTCTCTGTCTGCTACACTGGTTTGTTCTCTCTGTCTGCTTCACTGTGATGGTTTGATCTCTCTCTCACTTCGTCTCTTTTTCTCCCTCTTTCTTCCCTCACGCTCTCTCTCTCTGCCTTTCCTTTCTTCGTCTATGGCTCTCCTTTTCTTTCCCATTCCGAGCTTTGGTTCACCGAGTAACAATTTTGTGTCTTTGGTTCACTCTTTGTCTTTGTCTCCATCTCCCTTTCTCGTTGGTGTGTGTATTTGTCGATCCGCTTTTGGATCTTTGGTTCGTCGAGCACATACGAATGTCAGCGAACCACTATCTCCGTCTTGCACTAGAGACACCACTTGATTGTTGTCTCCCCCCTCCCTCTCTCTCTGAAGTGTAGGCCATTTCCGACAATGGCCACAAAAAATTTTGGGGTGGTGTAATCTGTGATGGGTTTGGGGTGGTGCTATCGGATGGTGGATTTGTGGTGGGTTAATTTACTTCATTTTTTTGGGTTTTGAATTTTATTTTTTTTATTGACAATTTGGAGACTATATTATTATCATAACAAGTTTTTTGATTGATTCTTATGAGATACTATCTTGTGTCTATCTTCTGTTCTGCTACTGCTTATGCAGCCAGTCTGTTTTTTGTTACAACTGGTTTCGGAGATTTGACCTTGGTCTGTTCAGCTCGTTTGAGAAGAGGATAGGTGAGATGTAGTATCTCTGTAGTTCTTGTAATTAATTTGTTTCTGGAATAATTTCTTTTTAGAAAAAAAGTATAACTTAATAATATTTTATTCATTGTTTACAAAAAACTACTTACCAAACTAAATCTACCCACCATGACCATCCAAACTTGGCATGTGATTGAATTAAATTTTTTTGCAAAAGATGCAATGGTCAACAAGAGCTCTTAATCGCGCAGCTCATTGGATTACGGTCTAGCTGCCTCAAACTCAATTCTTTTAAGTTGGGTGCGCTGCCCCCTCCTGAGCTTAAAGCTTTATTATACTCTGATTGTAATTAAATTTTTCTTACGTAATTGAATTTTTAATACTGTGTTATTTCTTAAAAAAGAAATAAAAAAAAATCATTTAGATTGAGTTGGACTTATGCATGGGACCTACAATTTCTATTATTTCTATCAAAATCAAGTTTTGCAATGGATATTGTTGATTGGATTTAACTTATTCAAGATTATTTTGATCTAAATCTAACTCAATCTCCCCATGGCGATCCAAACACCCCACAAGATTAAAAAAAATTAAAACAAAACAAAACAAATTAAAATCCACAAAGAGTCATGGAGTCGTGTTGTACAACTTGTAAAGGGGTGATACCAAACTTACTAGTAACCAAAGCCCAAAAAAAATTAAAAAACTTCACTCAATCTTGTAATAAAATTATATTCTTTTTTATCTTCAAAAATTGGATTGTTTCTTCCATTTCCTCTATTTATGTGAAAAATACAAGAAGTTCAACTCATAAAAAAACAATCTACCGATAATTCGTACAAAAATAAGTAATGTTTTAATCGTGTATTAATTTGTTTAGATAGTGGGCCGAAAGCCTTAATACCTTGTATCACTGATAAATAGAAAACTGGTTATTCTTACGAAACTTACGATAAGATTGGTGTGAATAGAATTACAGGGTGACCAAGGAAGAAAAAAACTCCCCAAAGCCAACGAATAGCTTTCCACTCAAAATTGAAGTATTGTTATGTGAAATAGAGACAACGTACAGAATCAACCCCCAGGTACAAAAGAAAAGAAAAGGAAGTTGGGTAATCCTAAGCTTTTCTTACTTCATCATCTAACTAGTGAAACTCTTCTGCCCTTCACTATCCGTCTTCTTTAATTCTGCTGTTGAATAAGGATAACAATGTGCGAGCGACTCCTACCACAGTCCATGATTGGTCATGACTCCTCCTTCAGCATCCTAAGTGGATCCATGAACTCTCGATCTGATTTTTTCTTTCCAGGTCACACACGAACTCTCGATCCATGACCTTACCACAAAGTTTTGATAAGTAGACATCAAGGAGCAGACCACATCGCTAAGTAATTAGCAGCAATGTCACAATTTAGCACAAATCTCAAAAATCACCTAGGGCCCAACTGAGTACCCTGGAAACAGCAAAGCAAACAGAAAATCAGTTGTTTGATTAAAGCCAATGACAAAACAGTCCACTGTGAGAAAAATGACAAAACAGGCAACTACAAGAGGATCAAGCTTTGAGTAGTAAGCAGTAACACACTAATAGCAACAAGTTATCATCTACAAAGGTTTCAAGCATGGATCTCAGCCCATGTTTACAAACCAGAACCAACATCAATCTCTCATTATTGTGAAAAAGCAGATTAGGAGATGAATAAATCATCTAACTACATGTGTCAAATATTTCATATGTTGGTAAAAAAAATTTCCCCTTCGATATCAAATACTTCAATCAAACAATAGATAGTACTTTCATAGAAAATTTCATCACCTACAACTATTTTGGATTTCCATCACCGCTTTTCAGGACCCATGCAGAACCTTGTGATACACATAATTCACTTAAGACCTGCAAAATCAAACACAAACGACATGAGTTCAATTCAGGAGCAAGCCAATAATACTTGTACTCAGAAAGCTGAACCTCTCAGGTGTAAAGCCTAAAAATCAGTTGAAAGATGTGGGTCTAGTGTATCAGCAATTTTAGAATTTGCTAGATGAGATGCAATGTGAATGGAGGAATAGAGGCCAGCCTCATCATTCTGGATCAAGCCCAACCCCCCTTCCCTCCTAATGGTATGCAAGCCTAATCCTTAACTGCTTAGCAAGGTTCCTCGAAGAAAGCCGGCTCCAAACTTAGTGTGCCCACCACCCCAAGAAAAAATATAAATATAAAGACCTGACTCATCCGTTCCCTACCCCCACCACATGGTCTAAATGAATATCATTCCCATGGATTTCACATACCTTGAACTATCACTCTCAACTCAACTCAGTTGAAGTCAGCAGAGCATGTCCTAAATATTACTCTCAATAGTGTATACACATTAGCAAATGTTACATATTTTTAGCATCAACTGATCCCAATAATCCATTACAAGGCACCTTTTTGGTCACACTTTGAAAAACGTTCTTATTTACTTTCTTAAATGAAAAGGCAACCAAAATTTGCAAGCAAACTCTGATCCTATAATTGTTTATAGTATAATTCCTTATATACTACTGTTCGAAGTAGCAAAAGATTGTGAACAGAGTGCTTCAAGGCTGTCCATCACTGTCATAAAAAACTCTCTTAAGTTCAGCATTTTCTATAGCCTTTCACAATTCAGGGCCTCTTCGTTCAACTTGGATGCACCATCTAAATAGATTAGTCTAAGCGGCCAATAAGTCAATCTAAAGTAGAATCATAGTTGTGAACCCAAGAAGTCCTTATGAATAATTGTCGAACATACTTTGTTGAAAACTTCATATAATATGGGATCCAGCATACCTCAATAAACATCAATACAAAAATATTAGATTTCCATATCATTAAACATTGATCTCACCTTTTGATATTCATTGGGAGTTATCTCCCTATTAAGTCGCATCTTGGCAGCTTCAACAATAGCAGCCTTTTTAAGCTTTGCATTACGCCCTTCAGCAATAAAAAGATCAATAACAACTTTCCTGAAAATAGAAAAATTAATTTCAGGCCTCAGCATATTATTTGAAAGTAATACGTAGATGTCAGGAATAACCTCAATTCATCATATTGTGGGTGGTCTAGGGATGACTTTAAAACAAAGACATCATGGATATTTATAGCAACTTGACTAATGATTGTCAGAAGCTCCTCCGGAGGAGCATCAACACCATTTGCTGCAGCTATTGCCTCTCTAGCAACTCCCTTCGGACGGGCTGATTCAGATACTGCCATTTCCCGCAAGCGTTGGCAAATTTGTTGAAAGCTGCCAAGATAAAAGATCACTCAAATTTGTCGTTCGTACCAATGAAATTGCACGAGAAAGGTAAATGAAGAGTCATTCTGTGTGATTGTAGGTGAGGGTGGTTGCATGTAGGTATTACAGCAAATATAATAAAATCTAGTTGATATCGCTCAAATGAACTAGTGTTTTACTAAAACCAAATCCATAGTCTCACTATTTCTGCCAAAATAATCCTGCCAACCTAACACCAGTATGCCCAAAATGGCCCTCCTCCCCCTCCCACCCTCAAGCAAAAACTACATTTCTAAAATTAACCTATTTTCCCCAAGTAAGCTGTCAATGAAAAGTTGACATTCAACAACATCCCTTTTCAACCAACATTACTGTCTAACAGCAACTATAACTGTTGCATGCCCTGTAATTAGGGGTGTCAAATATGTTGCATTGGGTCATTTCGTGTCGGGTTGATTTTGAGTTTGTGTCAAAAATTTCAAAATTCAAACATGACATGTTATAATCGTGTCGAAATGTGTAAACACTAACCTGACTTGGCCATTAAACGGGTTACTCGATCCCGACCTGTTTGACACGTTTAATAAACAGGTCGATTTCGGGTTAATACACATAACATGATCTATTTAACTTGTTTAGCACATATAACACAGATCTATTTAACAGACATAACATGTTTTCGCACCAGTTCATTACCATTAAATATATCATTCAATTATTCATCTAAAATTTCAAATAAGTTTTTTACAAATAACATATCACATCTCATCAATGAAATTAATTAAAATGTATTCAAGTTTCAACTCAAAACTTAAAGTAATAACTATACTAGTATACTATCATAATAATGTTAAGAACTATCCTGCCAATTATCATAGTAGAAGTAAGAACTAATAAATAATACTGTTCAGACTACTTCAGTCATACATAATAGGCAAACTATACTGCCATAAACGGGTTAAACAGGTCTACAATGGGTTAGGTCGGGTTCATGTCCGAATTATGTCAACCCATTTAAAATATACAGGTTAATCATGTCAAAATCAGGTTGACCTGAACTCGAAATGATTTTTTTCGTGTTTAATCGTGTTGACCCATTTTAACCCATTAATTCATTTAATTTCGTGTCCGACCCATTAATTTCGTATTCGGTTCGTGTAGTGTCGAAAATTCACAGCCCAACCTGTAATGCCGCACCTATCTTACCTCACATAACACTGTTCCATGGTCCACTAAAACAGTAAAAATAACTGGAGATAAGTAGTTTTCTAAATTTAAAAACTGCTTTAATGATCTACCAACCAAAAAATAAGCATCTCTTTGCCTCTGTCAAATTACATTCAATATAACTGTCACAGCATCATCAATCTAATGTGTAGTCATATGATAGTCAATGACAATACACTGATAAATATTGATCAAGCTTTAACAATGACCAGGTTCTTCATGAATAAAAGCTAGCAAATGCGAAAAGATCAATGCAAATAGCCTCACCTGCAAACCTTGTAAGTCTGGAGAAGTTTCTGAAGGGCCTTTGGCAGAGCTTCACGAGTTTCATCTGACATCGGCATTCTAGAGGGTGTTCCATTAAATTTTCTTGATGCAACTTTATTAGAATTCTTCAAAGTTACAGGCCTATCATCTGAATTAGGTTTCAGAGAATTTTTCATACCAGGCCTGCTTCTCCCTCCAAAGACATGATCAGTTATCGCCTTCTCCAAACGTTCCCAGGCTTGTTCTTGCTCCTTAACAATATTGGAATGTAGTTTTATGAATGACATATCTTGTGGCTCTTTAAATTTCCAATCATTGAAGGCCGGCCTCTCAACAGCTAATACATTCAGTATGCCTTTCATGGCTTTGCCAAGTTGAGGCTGTGATGGTAACTGTGCATTATTGATAACGGGATTTTTGCTGAACAAAAGAAGAATGTAATCTCTAGCTAACGCTTCAACACCTCCATCTCTTCCATATAGAACAGAACTCTTTGGAACCCATAGTCCTTGAACTAATTGAGCAAGCTTTTGGAGGACTCCTAACACGTCTTCAATGGAGTCACTAGGAGCTAGGTGCTTAAGAGCGTCGAACCGATGTACTGGTGGCCCCTATTATGAATATATTTAACACTTAGACAAATTTAATCTGTTGTATGATTAACCTGCTTCCTAAATGAAAATACCAAAAACAGCAAAGAGTTCACCATCAAGGAACTACAGCTCTTTCATATTATAAGAATACCAAAAGAAAATTTATGCAAGTGCAAACCAACAAAAACCACAAGACCCTGCCTGTGTATTGGTAAACTGAGGCAACGTAACCAGAATATGGCAATTGAATTGGGAATAGAAAGAGATACAACAAGATAAGCAGTGAATGAGTCAAACGTGCCACTCCTATAGGATATATACGACTATGATGTACAAAGTAACTCCTTCACATCTGCCACCGTTTAGACGTACATTCGCACATACACATATAAAACTGCAACAGAAAATTAATCATGTAGAGAATAATTTATCGGGTTAACAAGCTGGTTAAAGCATTCAATGAAGTAACTAACCGGAAAGGAACATCATACACTTAGGCATCCTACACACATAGCTGCAACTATTTATCATCATTGAATCAATAGACAACCACTGTAAGAGGCTAACCTCAAGAAGCCAAGTCTTATACCGATCTTCCAGTGGCAACGAAAGCAAAAACCTGAAACGCATCAGCTAACAACTTCAGTGTTGAGAATGTACATCTGAAAAACAAGTGCACAGACTACTCCAGTTTTAACCTACTACGAAAACACAAATAGTTTATATTTGCGCTTGAGTTGCAACAATCAATGCTATGTCCAACCAATAACTGTGTTCCCATGTATGGTCATCTGCATGCTTGTTAAGAAACTTAAAACAGAATGATGGAACAAAACGAACTTCTGGAAGATTGCTAAAGGATTCAAAAGACTTGAATCATTTTTTGATGGGAAAAGACTTGAAATCATTGAGCTACCAGCCATGGAAGAGGAGCCCATTTTCTTGATAAATTCCAGTTTACAGCATGCATCCTTGTTAAGATGTTAAATGACACAGAGAACCAAAAATTTCCCTATTGTCTTAATAAATTCCAGTCTACAGCATGCATCCTGATTAAAATGTTGAATGACACAAAAATGTAAAAAAAAAGTTCATGCAAATCAGGAGTAAGCAGCAGAGTGGCAATACCTTCTAGAAGGACCTTTGGTTTTGTTGTTCTCATTTGATGAGCTAGGACACAAGGAGTTAACATAATCGTACCTTCAAGTTCAAGTAAGAATATCAAGTAAGTAAAACCAACATATATTGCTTCAAGCATAAAACATTTTAATGAAATTGGCTAGAACAGATAAATATTGTGGTCACTATATAAAAGGCATACGGGCTCATTAAAAATTGTATAGGAGAGCCTTCATGTGCCACCATGTTCTCTAGATATCTGGCTGAGACATCACTCTTTGAACCAAAATACTTTAGCGGAACCCAACTCTGAAAGGGAAACAGAAAAATAAAAAAACAATAATAATGATTGCAATCTTTGAAACAAATTAAAAGCATCAGACTTTGTTTTTTGACCTTTGCATCAAGCCAACAGCTTCAGTTACTAAAACAAAAACTGGCAAACCTTTTTTCAAAGAACTTGGCAATTTTCACCACATAAAGAACATACTCCAAGAGTGTAAAAAATATGGTGACCTAGTTACATTTACATGTCACATGAATGAATTGGGAATTAATTCCATTGCTCCATTTCAGAAATAGCCAAGAAAACATGTTCTGCTTCCATAAGATGATTATAATACTCCAGAAATAAAAAAGTTCTAATTGAAATAAAAGCTCCATCCTACTTCAAATACATCCGAAGGCCACTGAAAGCAGATAAATTACGAAAAACACAATAAAAGAGGACTCAGGAAAACAAGCACGTGATACAGATATGGAAGGTATGACCAAAAAAAATACAGATATGGAAGGTACCAGAATCTTTCGAACTCAGCTTCTGTTGATTAAATTATTATTTTTTTACTGATCTTTGTTGGTATGAGATGAAGTTTTCTGTTCTTTCTAGGTGTTACTGATGGTGCTGGCGAAAAAGAATGCCAATGCCATTTGCAGACCTGGATTTTTATCTCTCCTTTTCCTTATTTTTGTTTTGGCAAAAACTGGCTATTCAGATTTCAGAAAGTCGTCTGGTTGTTTGTCATGATAGGTCAGGACTGGATATCCGCTTTTATTGGTTTTAAGTTGTACAGTGTTTTTAATTTTTCAATGAAGCTCACATTCTGGAAAAAGAAGGGTAGGATAAGGAAGCTATACAAAAAATTGAATGCCATTATTAAAAAGTGAAGGCAGTTCGTTAAACATCAGTTAAACTTCAAACATTGAAAAATCATTTCTTGTACCTCTCCAATATCCTTGTTCTGCTCACTCAAAACTCCTAGCTGCTGCTTCTGCTCACTCGAAACCCCCAGCTGCTTCTTCTGCACAGGAATGGTAAGTACCAGGGTTAAACTCTAAACAAAAAAAGTTCCCAGAGTTGACCCATATTTTATAATGTAACAGACAACTATAAGTATGATTCAGACCTAAAATACTGTTTAGCCAATGAACTAAGGATACGCCTAATACATGAAGCATGACAAGTAATATATATTGATGCTCATCACAACCATCACGAATAACTGGTAACTTTATCACTCACAATAACAAAAAAAAAAAAAGAATCAACCTGTTTATTTGATGGCCCCAAGGGCTTTTCTTCTGTAAGCTTTTCTAATTCAATTGTATCCTCAACATTGCTAGTTACGTTGTGTTTATTATTTGAACTCCAAGATTTAAGATGTCGCATTGACGGTCGCAGCTGCACAACTGCATGAATAGGATTGAGGTGTAACTGCAAGGCCAAAAAGAAAACAAAGCATTTCACAATGCATAAATATCAAACAAACATTTAAATTTTAACCACTGTTCCAAGCTTTGTTGACAAATCTCTCAGCTCTTCTATGTGGCAGTAAGACAAATGAGTGGGATAGCCACTATAGAATTATTTTTTTACCAGCAAATTGAGAAATTTGAATAAGACAAAAACCAAAAAGAAAAAGGAAATTGGCATATGTAGATTTACCAAAAAGGAGTATCACCATAATACACGGAAGGCCTATAGATAGAAAGGAACAAATGAACACAACATACACTGTCCATGCTTCTATAGCAATCACGCGGTGAGCTTTCTTGGTTTTCTATTAATTTTGTTAATTTATTTGGTAGAATGGTTTTCTAGATCCTTTACGTAGTTTTTGATTGGTTAGAGTAATCAGATTAAAGGCAAGAAATAAGGGTTATTATTATAGTTTTCTAGCCAATAAAAATGGTTGTACTCGTCTCTTTCAGAATTGGTGAAACTCATTTTGAGAGTTGCAGCTAGTGCTTTGTTTCCTTTGCTAATTTCACTCTCTTCAACTTAAAAAGGGTGGCCTAGTGCACAAGGCTCCCGCAGACTGGGAAGAGTCAAACATACACAGCTTCAACTTATTAAGGTTATATTTCTTCTGCTTACCCTTTGACTTCTAGTCTTCTTTGTTGAGTGCAATTAAAGATGTTAGTTCTCCACTCAAATCTCATTTCAAAACTGTTAAAAGTATTAGAGTAGTATGGGTAAATTGTTAAGAGTACTAGGGTGTTATGTGTATATATAAGAGGGTGTATTTGTCACTTTCTGATTATTGTAAGTTAACTATAAATACAAGTGATGTATGAGAGGTAGGGTTAAGTTTTGACCCATCTCTGTTTCTCTCTAATATTATGTTAATCCTATCAACTTAAAATGGTATCAGAGCAATTACGATCTTAAATATATTAACTTTGTTGTGGTGGTGTGCTACTGTTGTCGAAGCCATCGTTGTGGTGGTGGTTTCTGTTGGTGTGGTGGCGCTGTCATTCGTGGTGGTGGTGTGCTACTGTTATTGTACTATTGTTGTGGTGGTTCCTGTTGGTGTGGTGGCGTGATTGTTCGTAGTGGTGGTGTGGTCTCTATTCATCGTCAAGTAACGCCGTCGTCGTCGTGGTGTGACTGTGGTGGTGTGCTACTGTTGTTTGTCGTGGTGTGTGGCGCCGTCGAAGACCAGGTTCTCCTAGAACCCTAATCAACGAAGAAGAAAGGATCCAAACCCGTGGAGTCGGGTTTGGATCAAATCAGGTCCAGCCCACGGTCTTTAAATTGTTTTAAGTCCAGCCCACGGTCCAACTTAGATCGGATCAATAACGGTTTGATCCCAGTTCATCTTTAGACTGGTTCAACAGTCCAGAGAGCCCATCCGGTCCGGTTCAGCAGTCCAGCTAGTTTTTCTAGCCCGATTCAGTCTTTCAGCAAGTTCAGCTGGTCCACTTCAGCGGTATAGAGAGTCCAGCCAGTCCAGTTCAGTTGTCCAGATAGGTTTTCCAGCCCGATTTAGTCTTCCAGCAACTTCTTTTCCTCTAGTTCAGCATTGAAGTAGTTCCTTGGTTGCTATTTGTTGCACTGTTATGGAACCCAAGCAATGTGACAACTCCTTGACTCCATCTTTGCCACCCACTACTCCTCTGACTCTTCTCAATAGTCCCATGACCTCTGTTAAACTCAATGGGACCAATTATACTTTATGGTCCTGATCCGTTCAAGTTTTTCTTCGAGGTAAAGGATTAAAGAAATATTTGGTGAATCCTAAATTCAAGAAAGGTACTCCTGGGTACGATCAGTGGGAACAAGAGGACGCTCAATTATTTCTTTACTATTGAATAGCATTAAACCTAGTATTAGTTCTACCCTGCTCAATCTTGACACTGTCAAAGAGATATAGGATCACTTGACCACTGTGTATTCTGGTACAGGTAATTTTATCCGTGTTTATGAGGTGTGCGAGGAATACTTTCGGTTGGAGTAGGGTACTCTGAGCCTTGAGAATTATTACTCTCATGTTCGGGGAGTCTGTGAGGAGATGAAGATCTAGCATCCATTAACTACTGATGCAGCAGTTTGATAAAAGCAACATAAGGATCTGAATGTTGTTAAATTTTTAGTAGGATTAAAACCTGAATATGAGGCTATTCGTTCTTAGATTTTGGGTGGTTCTAGTCTTCCCTCATTACTTGAGGTTTCTCTCGTTTACAACGTGCTACTTTGTCTACTCCTTCAAACATTGATCATAGTGCCTCCACAGATCACTCAGCCCTTGTGGTTTCTAGTAGCCACTGTGATGGTCATCAAGGTGGTCGTAGTGGTCAAGAAGGTCGTACAGGATGTCGTACGGATGGTCGTGGGGGCCGTAATAGGCCCTGTTCATATACTCACTGTGGTCGTGGAGGACACATTGTTGATTTCTATTAGAATTTACATGAAAAATCTTCTGGTACTGCTAATCAAGCTTCCTATCAAGATGACACCTCAATTGTTGCTTGCATACCTCGGTCAGCTCCACAGACACCGGGCCAGTTACTATTACACGAGAGGAGTATGCCCAGTTCTTATCCCAGCAACAGGCTATTCCATCTTCTTCCACTGCTACTTTTGCCCAGTCAGGTACTATTTCCACATATTTATTGTCCTCCACTCACAGTCCTTGGATCATTGACTCTAGCGTTTCTGACCACATAACTAATGCGTCTGATGTTTTTTCTACTTATCAACATGTTACTTCCACACATAGTGTTACTCTTGCTAATTGTACTTGTTCTAAAGTTTCAAATTTGGGGACTACTCACTTGAGTCTTGATATATCTCTATCCTCCATGTTATTTATTTCTCAATTTCCTTGTAGTTTATTTTTCATTAGCAAAATTATCAGTTCTCTCAATTATTCTGTAACCTTTTATACCTCTTATTGTGTATTTCAAGATCTCAAGGCAGAAAGAAAGATTGATACGAGGCATAAAACTGATGGCCTATATTACTTTAATTTTGATTCATCTACTCGAGCTCTACAAACCTCATTGTCCCTTTTTCAATAGCATTGTCGTCTTGGATATCCCTCTCTCTAAAATTTGAAATGTCAAGTTCTCAANTAGCATCCATTAACTACTGATGCAGCAGTTTGATAAAAGCAACATAAGGATCTGAATGTTGTTAAATTTTTAGTAGGATTAAAACCTGAATATGAGGCTATTCGTTCTTAGATTTTGGGTGGTTCTAGTCTTCCCTCATTACTTGAGGTTTCTCTCGTTTACAACGTGCTACTTTGTCTACTCCTTCAAACATTGATCATAGTGCCTCCACAGATCACTCAGCCCTTGTGGTTTCTAGTAGCCACTGTGATGGTCATCAAGGTGGTCGTAGTGGTCAAGAAGGTCGTACAGGATGTCGTACGGATGGTCGTGGGGGCCGTAATAGGCCCTGTTCATATACTCACTGTGGTCGTGGAGGACACATTGTTGATTTCTATTAGAATTTACATGAAAAATCTTCTGGTACTGCTAATCAAGCTTCCTATCAAGATGACACCTCAATTGTTGCTTGCATACCTCGGTCAGCTCCACAGACACCGGGCCAGTTACTATTACACGAGAGGAGTATGCCCAGTTCTTATCCCAGCAACAGGCTATTCCATCTTCTTCCACTGCTACTTTTGCCCAGTCAGGTACTATTTCCACATATTTATTGTCCTCCACTCACAGTCCTTGGATCATTGACTCTAGCGTTTCTGACCACATAACTAATGCGTCTGATGTTTTTTCTACTTATCAACATGTTACTTCCACACATAGTGTTACTCTTGCTAATTGTACTTGTTCTAAAGTTTCAAATTTGGGGACTACTCACTTGAGTCTTGATATATCTCTATCCTCCATGTTATTTATTTCTCAATTTCCTTGTAGTTTATTTTTCATTAGCAAAATTATCAGTTCTCTCAATTATTCTGTAACCTTTTATACCTCTTATTGTGTATTTCAAGATCTCAAGGCAGAAAGAAAGATTGATACGAGGCATAAAACTGATGGCCTATATTACTTTAATTTTGATTCATCTACTCGAGCTCTACAAACCTCATTGTCCCTTTTTCAATAGCATTGTCGTCTTGGATATCCCTCTCTCTAAAATTTGAAATGTCAAGTTCTCAATCTTAGTTATGTGTCATCTTTGTCTTGTGAAGCTTGTCAACTTAGTAAGCATCACCGTGTGTCTTTTCAATCTAGAGTCAATAATCGTGTATCTGGTCCATTTGAGTTGGTACATTCTGATGTATAGAGTCCAATAAAGAATATTTTATCTAATAAATATCCTTATTTTGTGTCATTTATGAATGATTATTCTAGTGTGACCTAATTTCTGAGAAAAGTTCGTTCTGAATTATTCTCTATATTTGATACCTTTCGCAAGAAAATAAAAACTTAATATGGTTGTCGTATACGTATTTTACGTTCTGATAATGCTCAAAAATATGAATCTAATCTTTTTGCAGCTTATCTTAGTAAGACTGGTATTATTCATCAGACTTCTTATGCTTACACCTCTCCACATAATGGTGTTGCTGAACGCAAAAACCGTCATTTGTTGGAAGTCACCCTTGCCCTGTTATTCTAGATGAATATTCCTTTATATTTTTGGAGTGATGTTGTTCTTACTACTTGTCATCTTATTAATCATATGTCATTCTGTGTTAAATAAGCAAAATCCATATTTTGTCCTTTTTCTGGTTAGCCCTTATTTTCCCCAACTCCTAAGGTTTTTGGATGTGTCTGTTATGTTCACAATCTGGGTCCTGAGTTTGATAAACTTGACCCTCGAGCTACCAAATGTGCATTTCTTAGATACTCCCGCACATAAAAGGGGTATCGTTGCTATAATCCTTCTCTGCGCCAATACTTTACTACTATTAATGTCACGTTTGAGGAATCTGTTCCATATTTTTTAGCACCTACACAGCCTTTACATCTGAACTTTGAGTCGTCTCTTGTACCACTATCTCTTCCCTCATCTTCAAATATTCTGACGCCTATTGTGTTACCATCTACTTTACCTCCTCGTGTACACTCTAGTCATCTTCACCTATTGACTGAGGTGCCCGTACCATCTTCCTTGCCGCCTTTTGATCCTGATACATCAGCTAATTTAGACTCTTTACCTATTGCTCTTCGAAAAAGTATTCGTTCATATGTTACTAATCATCCCTTTGCTCATTTTGTTTCATATGATGCCTTGTCTTTTGTCTTCTCTTATTTTACCTCTCAATTATGTGTTATATCTATTTCTAAGCACTTACAGGGTGCATTATCTGATCCGGGTTAGAGGAAAGCTATGGAGGAAGAGATGGATGTCTTACATCATAATAGGACTTGTGATCTTATTCTTTTACCTCCTGGTAAATGAACTGTTAGTTATCATTAGGTGTATGCTATTAAATTTCAACTGAATGGTTCTGTGGAGTGTCTCAAAACTCGGCTTGTTGCAAAGGGCTTTATTCAGACCTATTGTGTTGATTATGAGGAGACTTTCTCTCCTATTGCCAAAATTTCATATGTTCGTATCTTAATTTCTTTAGCTGCTAATCTTGATTGGCCCTTATTTCAGTTAGATATCAAGAATGTATTCCTACATGGAGACTTGGTTAAAGATGTATACGTGGAGCAACCACTTGGGTTTACAGCTCAGGGAGAATACGGTAAGTGTGTATGTCAATTAAAGAAATCGTTGTGTGGTTTGAAATAGTCATCGAGGGCATGGTTTGGTAAGCTTTCAAATGCAGTTTAAAAGTTTGATCTTCGCTGTCACACAGACCATTCTGTGTTTCATGGACAAACGGATGCTGGATATGTTCTATTGGTGGTCTATGTAGATGATATTGTGATTACTGAAAATGATTTTGAGAAAATTATCAAGTTAAAAATTTTCTTACAAGATCGATTTCATACTAAGGATTTGAAAAAATTCAGATATTTCTTGGGTATTGAGGTGACTCGATTTAAACCGGGTATTTGTTTATCTTAGAGAAAATATGTACTTGATATGCTAGAGGATGCAGGTTTGTTGGGTAGCAGACCGATTGATATTCCTATGGATCCGAATCAGAAACTGTTGATGGATGATGGTGCACTGTTTGAAAATCCCAATCGGTATCGCAGATTGGTTGGGAAGCTCAATTATCTCACTATTACCCGGCCGAATATTTCCTATGCAATCAATGTAGTAAGTCGGTTTATGGGGTGTCCTAGAGTACCACATTAGAAGGCAGTTACTCGTATTCTACAATATCTCAAACGTGCTCCTAAACTTGGACTGTTATATCGAGTTAATGGACATCTTAGATCGGAAGGTTTCTCACATGCTGATGGGGTTGGCTCTCCTTCTGATCAGAGATCATCCATTAGTTATTGTACTTTCTTAAGAGATAATGTTGTCTTATGAAAAAGTAAGAAACAATTCGTGGTAGTAAGATCTAGTGCTGAGGCTGAGTATAGGGCAATGACGCATACAACGAGTGAGTTGACTTGGCTATTAGACTTCCTCCAAGAAATTGGATTTTCGATTCAATCTCCTTTACAATTGTTCTGTGACAACCAAGAAAAAATCCATATCGTTGTCAATCCAGTGTTTCACGAGAGAACCAAATATATTGAAGTTAATTGTCACTTTATTTGAGACAAGATACTAACTGGGGAGATTACGACTCCATTTGTGAAATCTGAAGATTAGTTTGCAGATATGTTTACCAAAGCATTGAGTCACACGCGTCTCACAATAATTTGTTCCAAGCTTGAATTATATGATATATATAGTCCAGCTCAAGGGGGAGTGTTAAGAGTATTATGGTAGTATGTGTAAATTGTTAAGAGTATTAGGGTATTATGTGTAAATATAAGAGGGTGTATTTGTCTCTTCTGATTATTGTAAGTTAACTATAAATATAAGTGATGTATGAGAGGTAGGGTTAAGTTTTGATCCTCTCTGCTTCTCTTTATTATTGTCTCTAATATTATGTTAATCCTCTCAACTTAACAAAAACCATTAAACAACCCTTTGTAAACCATAATTGCCTTGTTCAAGACTTCTAATATCAACACCTAAATTTCACAATCTGCACACCATAGTAGAACCAAAACTAAGCTTCATAATATAGTTCTGTAATTGAGAAAGGTCTAGCTTCACCAACACTTTATACCACACCTTTGAAAAATTTCCTATGAGACCCATGATTGGCATACAGGTCTTGTTCAACCCTTAATTACAATTTGACCTAAAATATGTTACAAACTATAACTTCAAAAAACCAATGGGACTTTGATTGGACACCACTTGGAAACTTTTTATGAATTTGATTCAACAATTGATCAAAACTCCTAACAACATCCAAGATAGAAACACTTAAAACAATTAGACTACAATTTCCAAGTCTTTCAAGGTCGGTTTTGTCAAAGACCGTCTCACACTTCTATAGCATGTATATTTTCACTCTTCACGTGAGACCAATAGGTGCATACTTTACATTGCTCAATACAAATCACACCCTCCACAAATGAACAGGAAACACAATTCCCTATGAAGTTAAAAGGCTCATCATTATAATATGGGTTTATTGGTGAAACTTAATTTGCTGATTGACAAAATAACAGGATGTATTCATTGGAGTATCGACTAACTTCTTGACAGGGCATGCTCGTTACCTAGTGACCTTCTTATTTGATGACAAAATTAAGACAATGTTTTGAAAGCTAACTGGCCATATAAAGCCATTTAAATGACCTACTAGCATCACTAGCAATGGTTTATAACAAAACTAAATCAAATAGATACCTTGTTGCCCACGAGAACCCCAACAGCATAGCGACCAGTTGTGTGAGGTGGCTTCCATGAAGATGACAACGTCTTAATGCAACCACAAAAACAATTTCATAAGATTGTGTATAACATTGTTTATGCAAAGAAGTAGGAAGGCATAAGCAGGGTTCATTGGACCACAAGCTCAAATCCCTTTTTCCCTCTTAAGAAAGAAAAAGAGAATGCGAACAAAAAATAAAAAATTATAGAATTAATGATCCAAAGTGCTAGCATAGGTGTGATGTCATACACCAACTTTAAACTATATAACCACAACCATATTCTCGCCTATGAAATATACTCATTGTATGATCATTAAAGATAGTACGGATTGCTGGGTATAGTGCTAGAGTTTAGGTCAAGTCAATTGCACAATACATTAACCCAAGCTCAACAACATCAATATTAGACACTGGACTCTCAGCCCATACCCAACCTTTAAATTTAAAACTCAACAAAGCCCAACCAATGATTACATGAGGATGGATTCTAGCTTCCTAGGTTGCACCAATAAGATTTATCATAACGGAAGATGAGTGTTTATCATAATGGAAGATGAGTGTCTTAATTTGTTATCACAAATATTAAGCAACTGACAGAATGAAGGACCAAAGATTGACATTGAATGAAAAGAGAAGCCCACAACGGTCCCAAGCCACGATGCTACAGTATACATCGGAAAACAACCTTCATGGATATACATGTAGAATCATTACTCCCCTGAATAAGCTATGTATTGCCAATCTCATGTCACACTATCAAACGCATCTGAGTTGCACATTTAGTCCTAATCCACCGGTTACATACAAGGCCTTAGTGACACCTAAAGATGGTCCTCCAATCATAGCCCTAACCCACTACGAGCCTTCTTTTAACACTTTCTTGAAGCATAATGTAAGCCAAAATGTTTTGCTTTTTACAGGGAGAGGCACCAGTCCTTCAACTAAAATAAAAAACGAGATTTAACAACACTGATCAATTAGAAGTCTTTCACACCATTTACAAGTACAAAAAATAATCAAACATATAAAATCACACACCCTCTTGCAGAGTCTAGTGCAAGTAACATAGCCTGTGATTGACAGGAAAGTTCCATACCTAAACTTAGAAAACTGGCAAAAGTAACAAGTCTCATAGACTCATACTAATTAATAATGATAAGGCTTTGCTGAGTTATTCCATTTGAACTGCTTCATTCTCTTTCTGGATTTTAAGTCGGTTCTATTCGTTATGTTCTTGTTCCATCCGTCTTTTTCAACATTCAAAACTTTTACACAAAAATTAATTTCCACCACAAGAAATCGAAATTCGCATCTAAAGCAAAATTCCGATCCTCATGCTTGAAACACTTTGAATAGGTTAATCATTCTCAACAGTCAACAAAAAAACATAAAAATTGAATGTGCAAAAATAGGAATTGAACCTGCTTAGACATCCTCAGTCTTCGATCAGCGTCAGGATCATAATTTTTGGAATCAACATCAACTTCCAAATCAACCTCAACTTCTGCACTTGCAGGTTTCACCCTAACCTGGAAATCAAATCGCACCTCTAACAACCACTATATTTCATTCCATTTGTCCCCAAATACAATTTCTTTTGATCATCTAAATTGTTGACTCATATCCAATTAAACACTTGAAATCATTCAAACATAATTCATGATCATCCACAAGAATAAGAAGAGTAATGCGAATAACAAAGACGTAAGACACACCTCTTCGCATCGTTCGTCCAACTCGTAAGGACGCCACATCGGCCTCAGTGGATATTGCAGAACATATAACTATAGAAACGAAAAAAGAGTCAACAACTAACTAACTAGAAAAATAGTGAGTGTGTGTGTGTGTGTGTGTGTGTGCAAGGAAGGCTTGCCTGAGAGTTGGTATCAGTGGAAGGGGTGAAATAGACATCAATTTCTCGAACAACTTCATCTTCACCACTTTCGACCTCCATGGGATCATTATTTATCGGCTGTTCTTTCCCTTCAGTCTTGGCTTCGACATCCATTTCAACCACGCCGTTTGCGGCGGAGGAGGAAGAGGAGGGCGGGAAGGCTTCATAATCAGCCTTGGCGGTGGTGGAATCAACTGAAGATGGTTTGGAATCTAGTTCCTCTTTCTTTATCAAAGAAATGGAATCGAATTTCTCCGAGTGTGGTGGAACTGGTTCGGATAACGCCGGTTCTGTTTTGGGTTTGGGATTGAATTTAGAGTTTTTGGGGGCGAATCTGGTGGTTCTTTTTGGAGCCTGGGTAAGACCGTCGAGGTCGTCCAGGTCCATGTCCACCATCGCCCTCCGTTTGTATCTCCTTCTGGTATCTGCAGCTGGATGTAACTGTAAGGAGGCTATTCACTGACTCACTGTCGCTGCGTCGAGACTAGCTCACGAGTCAAGGCCTCGCGCTTACAACCAATCAGTTCGGTTAATACAGCTGTTTAGGGTTTAAATATTTGGGGGAAAAACATTATTAGCGGTGTCAGATGAACCTTTAAAAGATTTTTTGAATCTTAATTTATACCTTTAAAGATAAAAAATTTTAATTTATACCTTTAAAAATCAAAATTTATATAAATGTACACCCCCAAAGATAAAAACTCTTAATTTATAACTTCAAAGATAAAAATTTATATCGACATACGCCTAAAACTAACTGTCATCAGTTTGTTGCCTAAAATTAAATTGATAAATTATATTTAGATTTCTTCATGTTTGTCATTTAATCATTTAAATCTCTTTACATTTAAAATATTACTGATACATCATGACGTTTGTACACGTGTAACACGTAATCTTTTTTCATTGATATCTGTTAATATAACCGTTAAAAAATATAATTTTATCTTAATAAAAAATTATAATTTTATATTACCTTTTATTTTATGGGTCCGATATACTCTGAAGTTCAAAATCAAACTTATCATTTGAATGTCTAATAGAATATAGGTATTTATATATTATTTTTTATATGCAATGCAATATATCACTTAAACATAATTATTTGAATACCCAATTGGGGAGACATTTTAAATTGAGAGTATTTTTATTAAGATTTTATAACCGTTAAAAAATATTTTGTGAAGGATTTCAAATGATTAAGTGACAAGTATGAGGGAATCTAGATATAATTTATCAATTTAATTTTAGGTAGCAAACTGACGGCAGTTAATTTTAGGTGCACATTGATACAAATTTCTAATTTTGAAAATGCAAATTGAGATTTTTGATTTTTAAGAGTGCAAATTGATATAAATTTTTATTTTTGAAGAAATAAATTGAGATTTTTAATCTATGAAAGTACAAATTGAGATTCAAACGATCTCTCGATATAATTTGCAATTAACCATTTTTTTAATCAATTTGTTTAGTTCAATTAAGCGCTTCTGTTTAACAGGATAACACGCCTTGGAGGGTATTTTAGTAATTCCACTAATTTGGGTATAAAAAATGGCATTTACTGTACCAAAAACCCTACTCCCTAATCTGACGAAGAAGGAAACAACCCTAACCTTCCCGGATCCAATGAAGACCTAAAGATCATCAACTCACAACCCAAAATTCCAAAACCTTTACCCCCAAAATTCAAACGTTTACCTAGAGATCATTGTATAACTACTCCTTATATAACTACAGTTGATTTGAAACCCTAGGAATTTGAAAAACCCTAATTTAACCAATGGCGACAAGGGAAAGCAGGTCAGAGAAGGTAAAGAGAATATTCCAACAATTCGACGCCAACAGACATGGTGGTTTGAACCGAGAAGAAATGATCGCTTTGGTGGTCACCATAAACCTGAGAGTAAAGTTCAACGACGAGCAGATTTACACGATTCTCGACGAGGTCTTCCGAACCTACGGCGAATTTATCGACTGAGAAGGGTCTCACCTTTGACGGCCTTCTACTCACCTACAACGACGGCGTTAGTGACGTGGACCGCGACTTTGATGCCCTTGGACTTGAACTCAACAAAGATAATGACAATAATATCTCCTATGAAGAGCCATAGTCTTCGTCAATTGTCGATGAAAGAATAGTTGACCCCACCAGATGCAATGGACTACGGCTTAGGCGACCACGCCGAATCACGGGATTTTTTTTACATATATTTAGATTGTTTTTGATGAAACTTGAAATCTGGTCAAACCCTAACTCCTTTCAAATTCGATAAAATCACTGGAATACCTTTTGCGCGAAATTATTGAAATACTCTTCTGCCAAGTCGTGTGATGATCACGTGACTCTTTGTTGTCTGAAAAATTGACGAAATTTAAGAAAAGGGCTTAATTGAATCAATTCTGATGGGTGGAAAATATAAGGGCGTGTTTGGTTTGCTTTTTGAAAATAATTTTTTGTTCTCAAAATTTTAAAAATACTTAAATCTTGTTTGTTTACTTTTTTTGTTCTCTAATTTTTAAAAAATTTTGAGAATTAAGATATGATTTTAGAGAACAATAAAATAATATTTTCTAAGTTTCAGGGTAAAATAAAAAACAAGAGAAATAGCCCTCCTCTTTAATGAGGTCCACCTATTAAACTTCCTTAGCGATAAAATGCATTTTTTTTGTTAAGTATAAAAGCCCTCACCTGCTTCTTTCTCCATCTCCACACTCTGTGTGTGTGTGTGTGGGAGCGCGCAACGACACTGTCCAAACAAATCAGAAACGAAACACATTTCTGTGTCTACTTCGGCAAATCTAGACAAAACACACCCACGATCTAGGTTCAAAAACTTTGGCATCTTCCCCAACGTCTTCTCCGTCTTTTCCAGTGTCTTTTTTTTTTCCTACATCTGCGTTCAAGATACAAGTGGTGGTTGTGGGTTTTGGGTAGTAGTTGTGGGTTCAGTGATGATTTGTGGGTTTTGGGTGGTTGTCAGTTTTGGTGCTTTGTAGGTTTCGATGGTAGTCTTGATGCACAGTGAAAGAGAGAGAGACAGAGAGTTGAAGAATGGCGGAAATTTTGGATTATTGTCCAAACAAATTTTATAATTTTTGTTCTTTAAAACTATTTTCAAAAATATAAAACTAAACAGATTTTGTAACTAAAAATTTTTAAAAACACTTTCTTAAAACTCTTCTCAAAAATAATTTTTAAATAGGATTTTTTGAGATGCAAACCAAACAGGCTCTGAACTTCCTAAACTATCCTCAAAATCTAAGTTTATTTTCTAACTGCTCTTTGTACCCAACACCACCTAGCTTCAACAAATGCCCCCAATACAATTCTCCAGCTATAGTGATGCTCATAACCTCTTTTTCCTAGCTCTGATAGTATCCTTAACCCCTTTGCAGCTCCAATGGTACCCCCCTCCCTCTCAATGACCCTATTTTAGATTAGACCGACCATCCCTCACCCCCAATAAACACCAATTGTATCCCATAATCCAAAACCCACCTCCGACAACCCATAAATTCCATACTAGCACAATTACAAGTGGGTGTGTTTCGATTTTATTGGAGGAGGGAAGGGATTGTAGTTGTTTGGTGGTGGGTTTCGTGGAAAGGGATAGAAGGCAATTGTTTAGGGGCAAGGGTAGGGGTAGGGGTAGGGGTAGGGGTAGGGGTAGGGGCAGGGGCAGGGGCAGG